ATTTGGGGTGAGGTGAGCACGCTAGTAGGGAGGGAAAGACTGCAGCAAGACATGGATAGGTTGCAGGGGTGAGCTAGCAAAAACAGGGTGTGCTTCAATACTGACAAGTGCAGGGTGCTGCACTTGGGCAGTAGTAACCAGCAGCACACTTATAAGATGGGAAACGCACTTCTTGAAAGCACGGAAGCAGAAAAGGATCTTGGAATCATTATTGACTCCAAGATGAACATGAGCCGACAATGCGAGGTCACAGTTGGCAGGGCTAACCAGACCTTGTCGTGCATCCACAGATGCATCCCTAGCAGGGACAAGGAGGTGATCCTCCCCCTCTATGCAACACCGGTCAGGCCACAGCTGGAGTACTGTGTCCAGTTCTGTGTGCCCCACTTCAGGAGGGATGTGGACAACATTGAGGGTCCAGAGGAGGGCCACCTGAATGATCTGGGGACTACAGGGCAGACCCTACAATGAGAGACTGCGGGACCTGAATCTGTTCAGCCTTCACAAGAGAAGGCTGAGGGAGGACCTGGTGACCGTCTATAAACTCACTAGGGGGGACCAGAAGGGTTTGGGAGAGACCTTGTTTCCCCTAGCGCCCCCTGGCATAACTAGGAATAATGGCCATAAGTTGTTGGAGAGTAGGTTTAGATTGGATATCCGTAAGAACTACCTCACAGGGCGGCTAGGAGCTGGAACCAACTTCCAAGGGAACTGTTGCTGGCTCCTACCCTGGGGGTCTTTAAGAGGAGGCTTGATGCCTACCTAGCTGGGATCATTTGAGCCCAGTTTTTTCTCCTGCCCAAGCAGGGGGTTGGACTTGAAGATCCACAAGGTCCCTTCTGACCCTACTTCTATGATTCTGATAACTTTGCCATGTGTCCTTCTAATTTTTGGGGTTGTTAGGAAGACTCTCCATTGGTACCACCTTCCCGAGAATAAAAGACTTTCCATAGACCTACAAGAAATAGATCCTGCTTCTAATCAAACTCTTCAACTGATAGCCTGAATATTGGCACTCGTGTTATTCTTCTTTGCACTTGGAATTTGTAAAATTACTTTTAAAATCTAGGAAACATTCAGAGAGGTAGGTATACTAATTGAAATGGCTATTATTCACCTATTGTGCTACAGGGAAACATTAGCCTGGTTCCATTCTCTTGCCAAATTCTAGATTATCTATCTTGAAAGAGACTCTTTCATCTCTGTCCTCTAAGGAGCATTTGGCCATAATAGCAGATTATTATAAGCCACTGCAAGGCAGTATACTTTTTCTTCATTCAGTAGCAAACTACTTTGTAAAGGAGGTCTGCTTCTATTTGAGTCCTTACTCCAATTTGACTTTTAAATTAGATAGTCTGTCAAATTTTAAATCACTGAGTTGTCGTGCATTTAGACTGCATTGCTCAATGGAATGTCTGTATACAGAGTTGGTGAGCTGTAGGCTGTTACGACTGACACTTCAACTGATTTACCATCTGCCAAATGATGCATGCAGTGGGTCCTACTTCCTCACCCAAAACTGTTTCCTAAAATAGCCTTGGGTTTTCACTTGGGACAAAATATCAGGTCAGCCAGTAATTTTCTTTGGAACTTCTGTGCAGTAAAACAGCTTTCATGACTGACTGTTAAAGAAAGTGTCCATAGCAGCAGAATGGAAACTTAATAAATTCTTTGGTACAAGTTCTTGAACTAATTGTGATTACCTGGTGTTCATTTTTGTAAGTTTAAGATCATTAACTAGTTCACTTCTGCTTAATAATGTCAAAGTGGGAGAAAAGAAAAAGCCGTGTTTAGGCAGCCCTTAAAGTAGAATTCAGAGTTACTCACTGTTACCAGAATTTTTGCCATGGATTAGCCCTTTACTCATGTTGGTTTTTTGTGGGGGGGGTTGTACTTCTAGAAGCTGAGGTGATTTGGAATCATATTACACTGCACAGGCAATATAGTAGATGGTGAGGATGACGGTAGACTTCCCTCTGACTGCAGGGGACATGACAAGGTAATGGTCTTGCAGCAAGGGAAATTTAGGTTGCATATTAAGTATAGCTGTCTAAACTATGAGTGATTAATTAAGCACTGGAACAAATTACTTGGAAAAGTTGTAGAATTGCCATTCTTGGAAATTTTAAAGAATAGTTTAGATGAATATTTGCCTAGGATAGTTTAGATTAGTGGTGTTCAACCTTTTCTCTTGGTGAACTGAATGGGCAGTGTCCCATCCATCCATAGGCTGCATGTGGCCAGTGGCTCTGATCCAGCACCCAGGGCAGGCCCAGCCGCATCTAGCCACACACAGCAGGCTGGGGGGCAACCTTGCCCTGATCCAGCCATGTTGGGGGGGGGGGCAGGGCCTGGTTCAGATCTGGCTGTGCTGGTGGGGAGGCATGGGAATTAGGCAGCTGGGGGGGTGGCCACTGTTCCTAATCCCTGGGAAGCCCCATAGGCCAGATGTAACAGCTCTGCAGGCTGAGGTTGAGCACCTCTAATTTAGACAGATGCCCCCCACGTTCCTCCCACCCCTCCCCCAAACACACTTGAACAGGGTTGGAATTAGAGGTGCACTGATGCATGGGTTTTTTATTGGAGCAGCACCAATATAAAGAAAATTGACTGCATCAGAAATTGGTCTTATGTGGCCAATAATTTGGCCAATAAATGCCCGTGCATGCATGCAGCTTCAATGCAGCACATAGATGGCGAGGACCGCAGCCTGGCAGCTTGGAGAGCTGCATGCAGCTTGTAAATCTGAGTGTGTGTGGAGGGGGGGAGTGGCCCCTCCCCACCCAGTGCCCTACACTGCAGCCACTCACAGCCTGCCTGGGGCTGCCTGTGCCTGCTCCAGACAGCCCAGTGTGGCCTGCGAGCGGCTGCAGCAGGGAGTGCCAGCCATGGGGCAGGGGAGGGTCTGCTTTCCTCTGTACTGGGAAGGAGCCCAGGGAAAAGCTGAGCGGGGGTGTGGGGAGAAAATCATTCCCTCCCCTGCCCCATGGCCAGCGCTCTCTCCTGCAGCCATTGGTAGCCTGTGCAGGGCTGTCCGGAGCAGGCATAGGCAGCCCAATGCAGGCTGCGAGCGGGACACTGAGCGGGCAAGAGGCCACTTTTCTCCCCCTTTTCCCCCCACTCAGCTTTTCCCTGGGCTCCTTCCCTGCCTGGGGTCTTCCCCCACTGTTTTTCTCCCCCCTTTCCCTTCCCCCCCTTACCTGAGTTTCTGGCATAGTGCAGCCACGTGGTCCCAGGCCAGAAGTCCCTGCTGGGGCTTCTGGCTGGGGGAGGGTGGCTGTGTGGGGGAGGGATAGAATGGCTTCACGGGCCAGATCCGGCCTGCGGGCCATATTTTGCCCACCCCTGCTCTAAACCCAGTCTAAAAGCCTGTTCCTCCTCTTGGAACCTACTAACTCTAATAGAAAAGAGGTCTCCCAAGTCCCTTCAGAAGCATCTAGGCTGCTGTAAGGATATACAAGGGCCTCTACCCTAGTCTTTGCTTACCTTGGGTAGGAGAGGAAGGAGGGGAAAGGTAAGGGGTCATGCTCCTACATAAGATTAATTATAGTACCTGCTCAAGGTTTTCCCTAACAGTATCACATAACATTCCTCCAAATGGTTTTGATGTCTACAGCATTGCGAACACAGTTCTGAGTGTGTACAAAGTTGAAACAAACCAGAACAGTCTTTAATCTTGTTCTGTTGCTGCTTAGCAAAGATGCTCCCTGTTTACTGGTTCAGTACAGTATTGCATCAGTCGGTGTCTGTTCAGTTATTGTTTAGATTACCCTCACAATCCTAAGGACTAGGAACTTCCTTTTAAAGATGCAACTGAAAGATTGCAGAAATTGAAGGCTTTGGTCTCAAGCACTCTTAAGGGAAAGCTGCTCATTCCCAGTTACTAAGTAAGCATGTGGATTTTTCAGTTTTTACCTCCAGTGTAAATGGAGCACTTAAGTGACCACTGTTTGCTTAAAAAGTATTGTGAAATGATACACTGTTTCAGTCGGGCTTTAGCAGCTGCTAGAAAACTTGAGATAACCATATTGCATACTCTGCAGTACTTGCTGTGTGGGAGAAAGGGGAGAGTGCTTTTCCTCCAGCTTACTAAATCTTTTTTTTTGTGTGGCTGTAAATAAAATGCCTCTAAATCCTTGAAGAAAAATGCATCTGAGATTCCCGAACTTCAAAAAAAACAATGCCCTGCTGCCGCCCCCCCCCCCCCCCC